TACTGGGTAGGGTCCTCCACTCCTACCTGAGTACCTACTTCCTTAACACCAAAAAACAGATTAACATCAACGACATTATCTGTTCCAATTAAAAAATACACAACACCTTATCACATAAGTATCTATTAAACCGATAATAATATTGGTTATTAGTTAAAAAATACAATTTTCAAACGATAATCTCTTTATCACGTGATTTTATCTTTTAATACAAACTATTCAAAATGGCTATTTTCTATAGAAACAAGGTGAATTAACTGTTCTTATCATATTATTGTTCCAATTCATCGGATTATTGATAATAAGAATTATTTTAGTTATTCTGCCTATCTATAGTTTACTAGTTTCTTTAACTGACTAATATTTTTTGCTGCGTTTGCGCATGAAAGTAATTCAAGGTGAATAACGCCATCTATCGAGTAATGATGAGAAACTGTGCTCTAAAACTTTTCCGAGAATTTATTGTTTCGAAATGTATCTAGATTCTAGAATAAGATCCTCTACATCTTATTACTAATAATATGAACCCTAGCATCTTAGATTTGGAATCAGTTTTGAGTAAATACTAATAAGTATAGGTCTTTGTCTTCAATGTCTGGCTAAAATATTATTGCCAATCATGATGAATAGGATTAATCGTAATTCACATGTATAAGGTAATTTCCCTACACCATTACGTATTTTGGATGGATTAAATAATAATACTTAATGAGTAATTATAGGAGTTAATCCCGCAGTTACTTACGTACCTGCTTAGGTAATTACTATCAGAAATCGACAAAGAAAACTGGATTTATTTGATAAATGAAAGAAAGTGAGATAAATGATAAATACTGGACGTAGATAGTCAATGCATTTAGGAATTATAAGTAATTAATTACTGATAATCATCATCATCGCGTCGTATTAAGTTGTTTTTTCCGCAATAGAATGTGAATTACCTGTAGGTACATGTAAGAACTTGTGGTTCATAAGCTCTTAGCATAAAATCTGTTTGGCTACCTTAGGTTCTAGACAGACGGACCGCATTTCAACTGTAACTCAACCGCAAATTGTTTCAGATTCAGTTTAAATGCAGTCGTATCACGACTGCAATTGAACTGCAAACCAAACATGCAGTCCGATTGCAGTTCTATTGCTGTCATGATCAAACGGTTGCAAACCAAACTAGTACTCCGATTGTAGTTCTATTGCAGTCGTATCAATTGCATTCCATCTGCATCCGAACTGCAATTCGCAGTTGGATTGCAGTTGAAATTTGTTTCGTCTGTTTAGAGCCTTAGCTGGTATGCTTAATTGGAAGATATGCTTTTATGTCTGTCACAGATCACTTTATTTTATTTTAAAGCTAATACAAGCAAAGCGAAATAAGTACCAATGCCAATTAACAATTTAAACTTTTTAAGTATGTAAACAAAATAAAATATAATGGTACATAAAATAAAGGCGGGTTTAATGCCATATATGGCATTCTGTACCAGCCATGGTCTGTAGCCAAAACCTAGTTTTGCAGCCAATTCCTTCCAGTCAGACCGTGTTCAGTCAAAACTATTGTTTAAGTGTATTGTGCTAAAGTTGAAAGTTATT